ATAGATAGATAGATAGATAGATAGATAGATAGATAGATAGATAGATAACACAGCCCAATAAAGCCTTCTGTTAGTTTCAGCCATATTTACTCTGTATTCTTACAGCATTTTCACATCATGCGATGAGAGAAAGGAATCTAAAGAAATCCCATAAACCTGAACTCTTGACAGGAAAGAATGTATCAGTTTGTGAGGTCACACGTGTTTGCTTGTAAAGATGTTCTTTGACATACAATTAAAATGGCAAAGGGCAAAGTGAGAGGCCTCCTACAGTATTTGTTGGAACTTTAATTGCAGATGTTTAACTCTCTGAATATAAACAGTCCAATTAAAAGCAGTTATTATATATAATTATTTCCCAACAACTATTTCAAGGTTGGAATTTATTTAAGTACTTGTTTGCAGAATTTTATTAATGTTTCTGATTTTCAGGTTTTTCTACATGTGTTTACATGACTTTTGAGACAATAGGTGAAGCCATGACTCACCGTTACTCATAACAATCACATTTCTGTTGCTTTTTATAGCATAGCGTGCTTTAACTACATCCTTCTCTTGGTCATAAGGCAATGATAGCGTAATGGTCACAGCAGTCAGTAAAAAGTCTGATTTCCGCCCACAAAGTGACAAACAAAGCAGGTGAAAATAGAATGACATGTAGTCATGCTTGACTCAGTTAAGACTATTTCTTGATATCTAAAATCATTTAAAAAAATTAATTAATTTAAAAAAAATGTAAATACCAACAAAAAAATGGCTTTAGAAAAAAAATAATGACAATCTCATGTTAAATTTCTGTCAACATAGCATTCGACTGTTTAAATCGATATGTAGGAGCACAAAATCTCCATTTTAACCAACCTCTTTCTTATCAATTTGATAGTTTTTTAAAATTGTTGAATTATTTGAAGTACAAAGCTTCAAACCCATCAATGCTTGTTTAAATATGCTGAACACCATGACATTTAATGAAAATAAAATAAATTGCTATAATGTACGTATGATTTTCATTTTTTTTAAAATGAACGAGTCCTTAAAGGTAATAATATTGGGCCATGTTTTTCTACTGTTGGTGGCTGAAGTGAGTCTGTATTTTCAATAATTTCTACAATTAGTTTAATTCCTTCATATTTTCATTATGCTGTCAAATTAGTCAGCTGACTGTTGAATAGCGTGACATATCAAGACATTTCTGAAAATGATCAGCTTGGACAGGGCAAACTACTAGAAAAGCTGAAAATGTCCAGCCTGTGAAACCCACATCTGTCCCTCTGCGTACTGCCTCACGTGAAACTGAGCCTGAGGAAAAGCTCAGACAGTGCTGCCCCCTGCTGGGGTTGTTTTGCACTCACATTGCAGGCCTCACTGTTGTCCGGCCTGTGAGGAAGAAGCAAGGAAAAGACCCGAAGTGCCCCGTCGCACCCGTCCACCGTCTGGTTGGCCTCCTGGCAGCTGGTCACTACGGCGTAGAAGTGGGTGGGCACGTGTGGGCCATCAGCTGAGGACCTGGGCAAGAACTCCCGGTCAGAGACAGCCAACGACAAAAGCCCCAACATCTCATAAAAGTTAGCGTTTCATCTTTTTTTGGGGTGATGTTGTGAAAATTATTATTTTTTGTGCCGCAAATAAATGATTAATATTCTAATGTTCTGGTTAGCTCAGGTACAAATGTATATCTAATGTCAATAGAATCACAACATGAATAATTAATAATGAGTACAATATGAATCTATTACAGAATATTATCTCAATTTAAAGTAATCACAAATGAAACTATATAAGAACTATCTGTTTATTCATAATTAAAAGGTTTGTGCTTTAACAGAGAAGTTTATTTAGCTGGCACATTTGTTTTTATTTCCTGGAGTATTAATGGCCACGTTTCTGTGTTGATGCTACCTTAACAAGAACTTAAGCTGCTGAAATCTTTGTCCTGCTGTGTGCTTTTAGCTGCTGTGTGAAAATGTTAGTAAAAACTGCCTGCAATGTTAATCTCAAACCACAGAAAATGGAAAACATGTCAAAATGTAAAATTAGTATTTGGGTTTAAAATGATTTACTCTCCAGAATACCTGGAGAGGCATTCATCATTTCCCAGGGGGCTATCTAATGTGATTTAATCTCACCAAAGAACATCTTTGCACAACAGTCCATTTTGCATTTAGCCCAGAAAAGACTGCAGGGTTAGTGAGTCTTTTGCACATTTTGGTCCTTTGTAGCTTGATTGATTGAATCTGCATTTGTGGACGGACGCAGAGCGACATGTAATGAATTTTTTATGCTGACTTCTAAAGGTCATTATTCAGCATTATCTTTAATGTTTCATGGTGAATAAAACTATGCCTTATGAGGTTATGTGGTGTGTTGACTTCTGTCTAAATAGGATTGTAAGTCAAACAAACTTACTCTTTAATCTTCTCAGTGCTATCTGGATAGCCATCATAGTCGTAGTCAAAGACAGGTCCAGAGATAACATTGATCCCATTGTTTTCCTCTGCATAGCGCCTTAGCAGCACCCCCTGCAGGTAACTCCATATTCCTGCATGCACACAAACACAAAAATATGACAGCTTAGCATATAATAATAATGCATTTAGGAAAATCCTTGATCACCAGCTATTTACATGTATAAATAGAGCAAAATGTAAATGTTTAGTTCCACTAAATTCTCGTGTATGGAAACCATAGGCGAGTTCTTTGTGCAGAACCAATAAATTATCTTGACCAACACACAAACGTATCTGATTTATTGTCTGTATCTGCATGAGCCAGCACTTCAGGTAGCCTTGTGCTGTGCCCTGATAGGCCCCTTTTGCCACATGAACAATCTGTATTAGGCTGTCCGTCCACAGACCTGAAATCACCACTTTTTCTGTTCTTTGTCTCATGTAAAGCATGAGACAAAGACAAGAGAGAATAAATCTAACACAGCTGAGTAAAATCTAATGAAACTCTAAGAAATACCGAAAATACTTTGTTTGGATTCCACACATCAGATTTTGCCTGATGGCCCTTAAATGTCTGAGGTTACATTTGTATGTCTGTTCTGTTCCAATAAACTCGAGCTGTCCTTAAACTAACAAAAAAAAAAAAACTTAGATTAATTATTTTTGCATTTTTGAGGGAAAAACATTTGCTAAACATGTTACTAGCTAATTTTCCACATTTAATGTTCTTCTGTGATTAAGAGACCTAATTTCATGCTAAATTCCCAGTTGAGGTTTGACAAAGCTACTCACTCTTGAAGGCAGGATACATGGGGACAGTGTTGGTAATGAGTGAAGCATCATATCTGGACTCTGGAGATGTTGCCAGCTCTGTCAACAAATGAGTGTTAAACAGGCATTAATATACAGGGAATCAGGCAGAACATTGGCCATTTGTACCATTTCAAATGAATAAAAGGGCGTTCAAATCCTCCTGTGCGCCACATGCAGCTTTACCTGGAGGGAAGAGGAAGCCGCCGGTCAGCTGGCTGTTATGATTGTATGTTGTGCAGCTCTGACTATGATCAGATGAAACTCTTGGGTCAACTCGAATGCACTTTACACCTTCTAAAACCTCTGGAACAGGCGTTATGTCCTCCTGTAAGGCAAGGGCAACAGAAGTGAGCACAGAGAGTAGCTGGAGCTGCACACCTAATGAAACTTTGGCTTTTTGGACCTTGAACAAATCAAATACATCACTAAACTACCAACAAGATTATAAACTATTTTAACATCCAGACGGGAAAAAAATGATCACATCTAATCTAATTTGGATCACAAATTTAGAATTTTTTGAATTTCGCAACACCTTCCCTGTACAGGAAAAATAGTCCTGCACTCTCCCCGACTCTGGAACAGACATTTTCTGTGTAGCGTCGTGTTCTGTGCCTCTTTCCCTGTGAACAACGGCGCAGTCTTTCTTCGGCCTGGCCTGGCCTGGCCTGGTCATGTCATCAGCTCCCAATAGCCTGACACCCACTTTAAATGATTGAAAGCCTGAGACCCGTTCGCTGAACAGGGAAAAGCCTTAAAACTGTGCGACACTGGCACACTCTTGAGGGACTTTATAGAGGAAGTGACTGAAGCTCATTAAACTTCTCATTTTGCCCATTTGTTACTTGTCACTGGTTTCCTCTGGCTTCACTGGTTACCGCTGGCTGCCCCCATCAAATTCAAGTCCCCGATGCTAGCCTACAAAGTGCTTAAGGGCACGGCTCTTGCAAAGGCACAACTCGGTCACTCATGGTCATGGATTTTCATCTAGCAGTGCCTACATCACACTTACGACAATCCAGATTGTTTTCATGTGTTGTTCCATGTTCCATGATGGTGGAATGACCTACCAAGTGCCACAAGAACAACAGTTTCCCAGTCTATCTTCAGGAAACTCTTCAAGATCCACCTCTTTAAAGAGCATCTCCTATCCTAACTCTTACCCATACCTATATATCCCCTCTACTACTCTTTATTTGCTTCCCTCTATCTTCTCGCTGTCACCACTGACTCTGACTAGGGATTTTCCTCTAGAGAGCTTATTGTCAGATTAATAATAAATGTAACATTTTGTCTACTTTGTAAATTGCTTTGGATGAAAGCGTCTTGTAAATGCATAAACATAACCTTTGTGTCACAGGTTCTGCTCCCTAATGGCTTGTCACAGGGGATAGGGCTGTAGGTGCAGTCAGTTCCACTGTGTCATGACAAACAGGGGGTGGGGGGTGGGGGGTGTACCTGTCGTGGCACTGCGTACGCCGTCCACAGGGGCATGGCCAGCTCTTTGCTGTATCCGCTGATGAACTCCACGTGATGAAGAAGACTGTACCGAGTGGCAAACATCACTGCCGGACGACCAAATGGTAGGTGTGTGCTGTCTGCAAACACACACACACACATCCACATATCACCATTTACGGGTCCTTGTTGTGAGTGTTTGTGGTTAGGTAAACCACTTAAACATTTACCCGTAAAAATTAATACTGGGAGAAAGACATACTGTAACTGTAGACTCCATCTGGTGCAGGACTGAATGGCTGAATAATCTCTTCCACCCTATTCTGAAACAGGGGAGGAAAAAAAAAAGCTATCAGTTCATTTTGTAAGCACACAGTGGCCGGTTTGGTGGCATCACCGTTGGCTGACCTCGTCATCGCAGCTGCAGCCCAGATCGCGGGTCACCGTGTTGTCCGAGTCGGACACCGGTGAAGGCGGGGTGACTTCGTCTGGCATGGTGGGATGGAAAGGTGGGTCTTTCAGCATGTCGTTCAAGCTGCCGTACGTCCCGTTATTCGGAGCCGGCTTCAACCCCAACAAGTCTGAAGTGGGGACACACACCAGAAGGAGACGGGGTTGACACTTGGCTGAAAAACATCAACTGAAACTGATTTTTTCAAACATTAATGTGTCATGCTTCATAGCAGAGGCTTCTTAAGGCTTTAGACATGAAAAAGCACTATAAAAGCATTTTAATTAACCATAAGTTATCAGTCTTACAGAAAATCATGTGATCTTTGAGCACAAAAAAAACATATTGTTGTTTACTTTCTTCATTTTACACTAATAACATGTGTGAAAACCTCTGCAGGGACTGTAAAGTTCAGCTGAGACTTATTTAACATATCTTTAACGAAATAAAACTTCAGAAAAGGGTGAACAGGTGTCATTTTATATGTGTTGCTGCATTAATCTTAGTCTTAGAAAAATGGGAGAATCCTCACCACACATCACGTTGTATAACTCTATATTCTCAAACTCTGGCACTCTTTTCTGAAATTTGAAACTCGGTCCATGCCCCATAAAGATAGTCTGCATATGGAAAAGAGAGAAATGTGCATGTAAAAAAAAACACGGAAACTCAGCACACAAACATGCTCTGTTGACTTTAAAAAAAAACAAAAAAACAGAAAAAATAAAGATTTTTTGCTTAACAATAACACAGTACCCTCATGCTGGTTAGCTTGTTGTCAAAGCCATGATCACCGAAGAAACCACACCGAGTCCTCGGCTTTTCTGGTGTTTTCCTGAAAAAGTAAAGTTTTCCATTAGCAGTGTTCCTCCTGTCCACTTTGAGCTAACCTGGTTGATTAATAGAGTCAAAATGGAACCACATCTTATGAATCATTATTGTCCTTTGTCGTAAACACTTTTTTGACCTCACTTCTCAAATCCAACAATCAGAAAAATTTGGAAAAGAGACCACAGTCTGTGGTGGGGTCATCAGTCTGTCGGTTCTCTAAAATTTGTTAAGGAAAAAGTTTATTCAGATCTGAATCAGAAGGACTCGGGTTACTTGGCGATGTGCCACTTCTTCTCCATCAGCAGATGGACATCCTCGATCCTGCGGTTGTTGGCGTAGTGAAGCCTCTTGGGTAAATGCTGCTTCAGGTATGGCTTGAAGTGCTGAGTTGGCATTTTACACTGCAAAATCAAACACAGGGTTGAGTGACAGGAACCTTCTTTCCGCCTCTCCCACAAACGTTCCCGCTAGATAGTTTCAGAACGAGGTGCTCATTGTTTTGTGTCTTTATTGCGACGTTTTGGAATTTGCTACTCACGGTGAGGTTTGCAACCACAACCTTTGGATCATCTGGAAAGGAAAAACAAGAACATGGAGCTCGTGTGATCTTTAAGTATTATCTGAGCCAGTCAAATCCAGGCATGCCATCTTACATGTGGTCGATTTGGGGTCACGGGGACGGATCCGACCCAGTGAGCCAGGGATCAGCATGATCTCGTCTAGGTTGAGAGGGTAGCTGCTGAGAAACTCTGTCCTCTCACAGTGCGCCTCCTCCATACCTGACAGAAAGTGCAGCAATGCTTAACTGCTATTACAAACAGATCCGTTGTACTCAACTCCTGATAAAAATGTACTTTTGCATGCAGTGCCAGCCATTGGAAACATGTTGCAACCAAATTTGATTCTTTTGATCTAAAAGACAGAGATTTCCATCCATTCCATCAGCCAGCGTCTCAGGCCTCAAATTTGAGCTAAATTAAAAGACAAACTTTCAGAGGCCAATATCAGCAGCTGACTAAACTACCAGCACATGCATGATATATGTGTATTGTAACAAATAAAGTGACTGAATATATGATTTGAAATAGAAATGAACCATAACTATCCTCTTTTTATGTCCTAGATTCATCCGCATTTGAGTCTTCAGTTCATTCATAGCACCTCCAGTCATCAGAAGGAAAACACACTACCATGATCTCCAACGATGATGACATTGATGCAGCGATGCAGGTTCATTTGCTTCAGTCCGTTCATCAGCTGACCGATGATGTTGTCAATCTCTCTCAGTGGGTTGTCCAACTGAGGGAAAAGCACCAAAGTGGAACACACAGAGCCAAATTCTCATCAGCCCGCGGTGCTTTCAACTTCCACGCTGACTTACCTCACTGCTGAGCGGTCCGAGGCGATGCCCGAAGGTATCCGGCTGCTCAGAGTGGACAGCATAAACGTATGGCCTGGAAAGAACAAACGAAAGACAATCTACTTCCTTCTTCTGCAAGAGCCCTTTAAGGACTGTGCAATGACAAAAGGAGAATGTACCACTAACTTGTGTTGTTTCAAAGGCATTTCGAATTTAGAAAAGCAAAAAAAGTGGTCTTTAACATCTGATTTTAAGAATTAAAGTCCTCCATAAATAATTTGCGTCTGTTACTGTCTCAGCATTGGCTCAGCTCTAAACGCAACTAAACTTATAAGAATAAAATCAGAGCACTATCTCTGGCAAACATAACGTATTCATACTGCTGTACACTCAACCTAAACATACCCTTTAAAGTCAGACCATAATGAACATTTGAGTGCCCTTCATGTTGACACCAAAGCTTCAGCAGCAAAACCTGGACAGAGAAGTTACCTAAACTAATAGCATGTTTCAGGATGTTTTCTCCATTTGAGGACAACTGATGTGATTTCAACAGATTTCTAAATTCAAAATTAAACAAACTCCATATATTAGTTATTCTTATGTCCACCATTTATGTCCATTTGAGTCTCCAGTTAATTAAAAAAAAGTTGCTAAATTGGTTATTTCAAATAGTCTGCCATAGTTCAAGGAACACTTTCATATGTTAATCATTCATTTCTGCTATGATGACACAGCTTAACACAACTTTACAAAGAGGGCAATGGTCACATTCAGTACGCTGCAGATTAGATTAGTTGTCAAGCAAAAGGAAAAGAGAACAATTATAGAATCAGAAAATAAATTAATGGTTTGATATAAGGGAAACAAATATTTTTAGTTTCCCAAAAAGACTATAAAAAGTTAACTGTGCCATAAAAAATATCTATAATGGGGGGGAAAGGCACCATCAGATACAAAATCCCTTGTACTGGGGGGTTGAATCTCCTGTTTTTTATTTATTTATTTTTTACAGTAGCCTGGATTGTTCTACAGAAAAGAAAAACTTTATCTGTAGAACATTTGGACAAACCTCTCATCATCAGGCAGATGCAGCCAGCGCAAGATGGTCAGAATCCTCCTTTCAAGAGGAATCACCCTGAAAACAAAAGGCAGATTGAAGCACTTTAAGTTTTGTTTGACCCAAATACTTTACTAGCGAGAATAAGACAACTGGCAACAGTGAACCAAAACACACTCGCATTGCACATTTTATGCACACAATATCCTGTTCAAAATGGATGGATATAACTAATAAGTATTCAACACAACAAAGATAAGCATTATTTCAGTCAGTATCAACAATATTCCTGTCATAATGACACCAGGGGGTGTATCTGTCACTCTCTAACTTGCTCTTTTTCCTTCCTTGAATGAATTCTTTCAGGCTTTTTAAATAAAAAAAATAAAAATCTGGATTCTTCAATGGCCCCTTTTGTTGGTCAGTGTGTAGGAGTACTGTCCTTCTGTCCGTGTGCGTTTCGCCATTTGGGTGTTTTGGACCATTGTTAGTCATTCCGCCGCCGCCCTCGTGATTGTTGTGTCATGCATATGCAAATATTTCCCGAAATGAATCTGTTGGGACTCTCAGTGTGTCAGACACAGAGCTTTACATTCTGTGTTTGTGTAAGCACAGCTTATGGCTCTGGTGTCTGCATTATTTGAGAAACTGACATCTAGCAATGGAAAAAAAATCCACATTGGGGCCTTATTATTGGACGCATTTGGTGTGTTTCATATAAACAACGACAAAATTGACAGTCAATAGCAATGATTATCTATCTTGTAGCTTCCACTCAGATAGAGGATCAACATAATTTGTCTGTTTCAGCTTCGATTTCCCAAAACACTAAGTGAACATTAAATACTTCATACAAAAGGGTGCACGTCTTCTCTTTAGACTCTGGAGAGCATTAATTTAAAGCTAAGGAGGAAATTGAAGCAACTGTGAGCGTTTTAGCCTTAATCATATTTCCAAGGGATGAAAATGTAGTCCAGAAAAAGGTTTCCTGGTCTGACCTACACGGCTTCTATCGAGTTTAATGTCTGAAGCGGCTGAAAAACATTCCAGTACTAACTTAAGTACCAAGGCCAGAAGAAAGTTCCTGCTTTCACTCCTTGTTTCTCTGCCGTGATCCAGATCTGTCAAACAAAAACCAAAGAAATCTGATGAATCATTTCCATATTCTATATGCAAAATGTTACATTATTTTCCCATCAAACCAAATATTGGACAGAACCACGGAGCCAGCTGTAGCAAAGTCTGCCCGTCGGAGCTACTTACTGGCTGCCCACCCCACCACCGATGGTTGAGTTTCTCTCTGGTGCGCAGACTGAAGGTGGCGTTGAACACTGGGTCGTGCATGGTGTTTCCCACAATGCCATGGGACTCTGGGTACAGACCCTGCAGGAAGACCCCGGGAATGTAATGTCAACATGCCAGATGTTAAAAATCAGTCCTTCGACGGTGTCACAACGAGGGCATGCTGAGCATAGGTATGGGCAAACATTTGTGTTTACTCAACTTTCAAACACAGGAGTACTCATTAACAACCACGCTTAAGCGCACCATCAAGTCTAGCTTGACCGAGGCATAAAGCAGTCACTCTACATCACGAAGGACGGCTTACTGTGGCTAGAGTGTAGAGGTTTGGGAAGGTCTTCGATGGATAAACCGGTCGCATATACGGAGCTGATGTGCCACATGTTCCTGGGGGTAAAAAAAAAAGAATAACAAAAAAAAAGGCGAATGACTGACAGCATAAGAAAATGAAACCCATCAGTCCTCATGACTCAACATGGATGCAGAAGAATGAGAAAAAAAGAGGTCGTACTGAGTTTATATATGTTGGGGATAACAGATTTGCCCTTCTTCAGGTAGGAGGCTCTGAAGCCATCGACAGACAGCATGATGAGAGGAGGACGGACGAAACTGGGGAAGTGGCACAAATGAAAAAACTGAGTGGTTAACTGAAAATGACAGAAATCAAGCTTTTTTCCCCCCTCATAAACAAATGACAGTATTCCACCAAGACACAAATAATATAATAAATGGAGCCACCAAATTGCCCCCTACTTTTTTTCTACTGATACAAGATACAAATAGGTTTTTATCTTTGAAAAGCTGTTGAAAATGTTAATAGAGAAATGAAAACTTTATTTTGGGTGATCAAAGCACAGAAATTCAGCCCACAGGTTTTTATCAGTCTTACCCCGCGGGGCACTCGGCGCTCTTGATCTCCTCACAATCTCCATGCAGCCATGAAGTTTCACCTCATGGGAAAAAGGGAAGCCATGGTAATCATCCACATGAACTCACACATTTCACTTTAGTTTGATATGTGGAGGAGTACCTTTGCAGAGGGATTTGTAGTTGGAGCAGCAGTCTCCTCTCTCCAGACAGTCCTCTGAGCAGTGGCAAGCATGGTTTTCATTCCTCACCTCCCCACAGCGATCCTGCCTGCACTCAAATCCTCCCTCTGAGAAAAGAAAAGCCGATTTTCTAATATCTCCTAAGTTATAGTACCCAAGGTGCTTTCATAGCTGCAACAATGCTAACACACATTGACTGAATCTAGATTTATTCCATTTGCTGTACAGTAGTATTTATCCAAAAATGTCCAGGCAGAAAGAGACCCCCTCTTTGTTTTGGAAGGTTTCCCACTATTGTTTGCTTAATGTTTTCTGGATAAAACTGTGGTTAGTTGCGCTTCACCCAGCCAAGGTCTAATTGGCCTCAGATGAGAATTTGGATTTAAGGCTACTCCATCTTGTACCATTTACAGCAAGACACACTTATTCTGTTGTGCATGCTAGCTAACCCGTCTGTGTGTACGGACTGTAGGAAGAGGAAGAAGAGGTCTGGAGCTATGTTGTTAAGCTGGGAAAGTTACCATGACATCAAAATTCCAAACCTTTTTAAAATGTATAAATTCGTTTTCAAGTTGTTGTTTTTTATTTTTGTCTCTGACACCATGCACATTATTGGCATTTGGATAACCTCATGGGATTTGTGAACATACAGGTGATAAAAGTTTATTTCGCTCAGAGAGGTATATTTTAACATTAGAAACCGGAGTTCAGAAGCAGAGAATCAGGCCGAGCGTTACTCTTCAACACTGACCTGTTTTCAGGCAGTGCTCATCGAAGTCTGTGCAGCAGCTGTAGTAAGTTTTGCACAGGTTGTCACATCTGCATCCTGGAGGATCGGCAACGTCCAGCTCGAAGCACCTCCCCTTACAGGAGCCTGCGGTGCTAATCCACTCCGAGTCAACTGAAGGGAGCAGAGGGCCACAATTAGAAACAGTTCTCGCTCTTTTCAATATTTGCCAAAGAAAGAATATTAGATTACTATTGTCCAACTATATATAATCATCATCGTGGGTCTAAAGATTTTTTCAAAGTGAGATTGTTTGGCTCTTGGCCTGTTAAAGAAATCATAATCACCCAGATATATTTACAGGTCATTAACACATTGCCTTTTTTTTTTTTTTTAATCAAAGAAACTCAGCATTTTATAGACATTATTTCAAAACATATGTTCTGAAAATCAAGTTAAAGCACTGAAATTTCCAAACATAAGCTTGTGAAATCACAAAGAAAAGAACAGTAAAAGCAAGAAACAGTCAAATAAATATTTCACACTGGTCAAACTCCTTTTCTCATGTGTACATTTGTATGCACAATGTGTTTTATGGCTCATTCATCAATCCGAACATATTTCAGCAATCAGGAATAATATGATGGAAGGAACATATTGTTTCATTCATGTCTATTACAAATAAAACCATTTGATGTGTCACAATGGGGCCGGGGGGGGGACTTCTGTCAGTACTTTAGGGGACAGCTGATGCACAAGTGGTGCCATCTGTTGTCTCTTTGGGGCCAATTGAACCAAGGATCTCCATTTTAGGGCATTTGTACATTTGTAGTGCACTGTAGAAGTGTGGAAATCTTCCTCACAACATGATTATTGCACATCTGCAAATGCTGAATCCTTCTTTTTTCATGAAAACACACTCTTCTACTCTACTGGTTACCTCGTTTTTACAGTTAATTTGGAAAACCAATCATAGCCTCCACCTCAAAGCCTCCCTACTTTCTCTGCTTCTATCCCTTCTCTTGCCCCTTTCTTGATTAGTGGGAGTGTTTCCTGGTGTGTTGAGGTCGATTCCAGCTTTTAATCATCTGAAACCATCCTCCACAAAATACCGTTGGTCTCCTACATCCAGTCTTCAGGAGATAGTGGACCACCTTACATTGCTGAGTCTCGTTTTAGCAGCATTTATTCTAAGTGCCTCTCTTTGAATTGTCAGAGCCTGCTCACCACACAAAGGCCGTCTGTCTCCTCTGATCTCCGACCAAGTAAATCAAAAGCCTGCAACACTTAACATGTACTACAACTAGACTTTAGCCTCCGCCTGTTCCCAATTAGCCAACTCTTTCCATGTTTGCGGGGGGTTCGTTGGCTATGTGCCAACAAGACGAGCCAAAATTGAAGCAAGAAAACGGCCGTTATGTAATAACACCCATGCATCGGGGCTGTTTCTGTTTTGGCCCTGCAACACACTGGTAACCTATCCAGGGTGTATTCGGCTACTCAGTGATACAGGGGATGATGGACAGATGGATGCGGGAACTGGTACTGAATTTACAAAAAGGAATTTAGTTTTTTTTTTCTCCACATCTGCTTTTTTTCTGGTTTGTTGTTCCTTTGAGTTGACACTAATTCAAATGCATAAACAGGCAGAACTCCGTCTGCATAGTCACCGATATCTGTGCAAAATGTGATGTGCTGTGATGACGACAAAAGAGTTCACATCACAAGCAGAATCAGAAACACAACTTGTCTTTTGTGTCACTCAACCTAATATCAGTGGGCTTTAGAAGTATCACACACATCTCCTGAGACACTTTTATAAACAATCAATCGTTTAATTTTCACATTCAAACTCAGATTTTCACAACGACTCTGCATAAAGGTGTTAATATACAAATAAATTCATCATGTTTGTTTTATAAAGGTGTTGGCTGCTTATCCAGTCATGTTAAGAGCCATTTGCTCTCAACAGTGGCAGATAAAACAGATTTAATTTGTCTCCTGCATACATATTTAATACATTCAATTACATGCTCACCAGAACACTTTTTTAACTGTTGTGGGAGAATTTCATGGGATAAAGGAAGGATTGGACACAGGTGACCAAAAATCGTAGATACCCACTTGTTTTTCTGAATCAAATGCCAAGCTATAGTATGAGTGTATTTGTGATTCCTAAATCAATATTGTGGTATTTCTTAGTTTTCTGTCAGTTCAACAGTCAATTTGGTTTTCATTCACAAATCTTAAAGTCAATGGTTCCTCTATACTCTATACTCCTGGGATCCTACCCCAAGTGATGGCAAACAGGAGAAAACCATCTCAAGATAGTAGGATTTACATGTATTTGCAAGCATTGTGGTGGCATTGCCAACTTAAACGTCTAGACACTGCACTGGCAGTTATAAGAAGAAGACATGAAACTGAAAGTGGTCGTTCTTACCTTTTGTCTGAAGCTGTGGGCTGTCTCCTTCTCCAGGTCGACTGGCTTGGAACACGTAAGCTCTGCTAACATCAGCACCCCACAGGCAGAAAACAACCACTACCTGCAGAAAAAGCAAGGTGCCATTTGTTTGTGGAAATGGGACGAACTCATAAAAGCATTCCATATAGGGCTAAAACCTATTGCTCTGGGGGTCCAATCAGCAAAACAGCATCACCCTTTGCATTGTCTGGTTGAAGGTACTGAGGTATTAAGCAGACATTATTAGAGTTTATCGTGTAATAGCTTAGAAGTGGTCATCTGTTGTGAAACATGCCCTTTACATTGCCATTTAAGACAGCTTGATATTCCAATGGCCAAGTCGAGGAGTTGGAAACATTCCTGAGAGATCTGGGCCCACGTGGACGTGATAGCATTGCGTTGTTCCTGCAGATTTGTTGGCTGCACATGCATATCTCCCGTTGCACCACGTCACAAAGGTGCTCTATTGGTTTGAGATCTGGTGAGCGGGGGAGGACATTGGAGTACAGTCCACTTATTGTCGCGTTCATTCAATTTGAGTATGAGCTTTGTGACATGGTGCGTTATCCTGCTGAAAGCAGCCATCAGAAGATGGGCCCTCTGTGGTCATAAAGGGAATGAAATGGTCAACAACAATGCTCGGGTGGACCGTGGCATTTAAATGATGCTCAATTGGTACTTGAGGGCCGAAGATTGCTCAGAAAATCCCCACACATCATTCCACCACCAACAGCAGTTGGAACCATTGATTCAAAGCAAGATGGATCCATGCTTTCACATTGTTTAGGCCAGGTTCTGACCCCACCATCTGAATAACACTTGTCAGGACAGTCAACATTTTTCCAACCTTCCATTGCCTAATTTTGGTGAGCCTCTACAAATTGTGGCATCTGTTTCCAGTTCTTAAATGATCAGTGAGTTGCAGCCATGTGATTAGTGCACTCAGCAGGTGTACAAAGTAGCCAATACGTGCATATACAGACATACATCTTATGGGAATGTTCTCTGTTTATTTGTTCAAATAACGTGTTGTACTGCTGTCTGTGCCTAATTGACATGTGTTTGCTATTTTTCAGACAGTAATTGAATGGTCAGCATCAGACGTCCTTAATGAATGCAACTGAGCATGACCATCAACTCTAATAAACATATCAGCCTCCTTTCCTGCATTCAAAACAACATGGCATCTTTTTCTGCTGTTAAATCAATCAGTGAACCAGTCCATTCATCCATCCATTTTCTGAACCGCTTATTCCCAAATGGGGTCACGGGGAGACTGGAGCCTTTCCCAGTATTTAATGGGCAAGAGGCAGGGTACACCCTGGAGGGTCTGCCAGTCCAACACATGGCCCAGTCAACCAGTGTTCCTGACTATTGCCATAAGAATTGCAATAAGAACCTTGTAAAACATCTTGTCTGCTCTTACAGCTGACTCACCCCCTCTGACTTTTTTTATATTGAATTATCTTTTCACAATTTTAACATATATTATTATATGCCAACTATTTCTGACAAATTAAAGCACAAAGTGTCAAGACAACATGAATCAAGCCATTTTTAAACTCAAATAACACTTTGTAAGATTTGTTCCCCTTAGATAATAGGTTCTTCATCCAAGCAAAATGAATGGATGGATAGAAATCTAATTAAAAAGGGAATAATTGGTCTTACCAAATTTTTAAGCAGGATAGAGGTCCATGTTTACTCTCAGGAGTAAACATGGACAGGGTTCAGTAAAAAAAAATTATGCATAAATGAGGGAGCCATTTCAAAAGCTTGTTAATAGCTGTGAGCCTGATAAACTGATTATTCCATTATCTACTGTCCATAGTAACATAAATCAGTCTGAAAATAATGCTATAATGTACAGAATAATTTGGTTTGTTAATTTGTTTGCTACCCCATTTTAAACTATGTCTAAACAGACATGGAGAGCAAAAAGCTGAGAACAAGTCATATTTACATTTTCATTTCTATTAGGAACCAAATATTTTTCAAGAAGCATATCATTGAAGGATTACACCTGATAAAAATCAGTTATATATTGTTGACTTTTCACTGATGATGCTGCCCAAATCCACATTGCTGAAGAAGGAAACGAGAACAACCCAGAGTGTGACCATTAACCTCAGCTTTGCTTACCTTTACCTCCCCCAGGTAAACAAATCTGTGTCACTGCTGACATTGAGCTCTTCCAGTCAATCCATCATCGTCATCATCATCATCATCATCATCATCTTGCGCAGTGTCAGACCCAAAGCAGCTGCGGCTGCTCTATTCACATTTCTCCACAGTTATGTAATTTTAACGCTCAGAAGGCAAAGCTTTCACATTTCAGTGCCGGCCCTGGTGTGAGGCAAAGAGCACTTCTGTCTCTTACAAGTCGATATATCAATTCTGCAACAGTGCTATCTCTGTTTTTCGGGGGCGGGGGTGGTGGGGTGGGGGGGGGGGGGGCTGGGAAACACTTTGGCCATCCGAATGAAAGCTGAAACAAACCGAACCCGCAATCAATCACAGAACTGTGACAGTCTTACCGTACCAAATTTTCCAGGAGCATGTTCCAAACACTGAATCCACGTTTGGCATTCCAAATAAAAGAAATCCCAAAGCTCGGAAACGTGTAGCCAGCGTCCGACAGAGGATCCTGGGTGCACCTCCGCAAATCGATGGAGCAGAGCACAGGGGTCCAGCTCTCTCTCTCTCTCTCTCTCTCCCTGTTGTTTGCCTTTTGCTCTGCCTCTGCCTCTCTGTCTTGGGCCAATAAGCATGAAGTAATGGTGACAGCTGCGCTCTGGTACAAGAGTGCGTCAGGTCGGGGTGACGCTCCGGAGTCCAACACAGTCAGCAGCTCTGAGCTGATCACACAGAGAGCGAGCAGCAAAAAGAGGCACTTACAGGGACAGGAACGGTTTGTGCAATCTCCCCCTCCGCAGTCAGGCTGTCACAGAGGAAAGCCTGGGCTGTTGGACTACTTAATAGACACCAGTGAGACCAAAAATCTTCTAAATGTGTCTGGTTGAGGGGAGATTTCATGGTGAAACGTCACAGATAAGTTTGATATTAATGACTAGTCACCAAAGACTGAGCTTTGACTATCCAAGTTCAATAGCAACATGTCACTCTGTTGAAGATTTGGAAAAAAATTCTGGATGCATGTGGATCATTTTTAGACAGATCAATAGAATGTATATCTCAAGCAAGTTAAAAGAAGTTGCTTCAAAGAATTGAGCCACTTGTCAATTTTCTTTGAAGACATAGCATCTGTATTCCAGTGAAGCAGCAGCAAAGCTGGCACTGCCAACAGACCTCACCATGTAACCGGACTTCACTTTTTCTATTTTACATCCTAAAGATGTAATAAACTGCTGCCAGCTCAAAAATGGAAGGCTGAGACTCACCAAATGGGGAAAAAACTTTGTACTGGCCTTTTAATTCTCTTGTATCTATGTGAGACACTTTGGTTTAAAGCGTTAGCAAGACACAAATGTAAATGCAAATGAAAAAGAAATGTTAAATGTATCTAGTTTTTGGCAACATCTGAACTTTAGAACATTCTTGTGGATAAGAGAGCAGGTTTAAGCCCTCACACACAGTTTAAGTGTCACCTACTGTGGAATAATTTGGATTCATCGTGTCCTTGCTAACTCTTAAAATAAGGTTAAAAAAAACTTACGATAAAAAACAGAAAATTACATGGCAAAGTGTCAGTAATTAACAGAACAAAGACTGATACAAATTGCATAAGCAGTATGCAGTAAAAAGTCAAAACTGGGATTCAACATGGAGGATGTAGAAACAAATCTAAAAGATTAATGTCTCTTGCTAGAATTGAGGCATTATTTGAATAAAGCTGTATTGAAATTCTTTAAAACATCATCTGTCTGCGGACGACTCTTGTTGCAGTTCGCTGAGACTTTCATTCGCAGCTCTCTTGAGCTCCTACCACGGCCCTGAAATTCACTTTTCTTTTTTGCTGGGCTGTGCAGTATTAATGTCCCGTTGCATGACCCTGCTTCAACCTTCTATAAGTGAGCTGAATTAGGGTCAAAAGTAGTTCAATTCCCTGTCTGTGCCCTCACATCTGCTGTGTGTGTTGGTATGACAGTTGATATCAGGGGTTTTCTGAACATACATCTGTGCTCTGGTGTCATCTGGTCAAATCGCACTGCTCCAGATGTCTTTCCTCCTTTTAACTGATATATAACCGACATTTGACATTGCCGACGCCTGATTAATGAAAAAAATCTAATTATCTGCACACAGCCAATTCATATGGAAATGGTAAGGAGCGATCTTTTTTAACACCTTTTCTGCATTTCGTCTTCGTTTTTTGCTAAATAAAGACACTGTGCAGTGTCACGTGTTGCTCTTCATTTGAGTTTAGTTTTTTTTAAATCCCTTTTTGTAAATGCAATTGGTTCAGCTGTCATTTAATTGTTCAACCTTTACACAAAACACAGAAAACTAGTGAAGTGCATCTGTGCAAAGTTAAGATATAAGTTATTGAATTTGGGGACTTTGTTGGGTGGGTTGAAAGCATCCGGTTGAATAATAAGTCTCACTAAATCACACATGTTATATTCAGGTAAGAGCTCTGTGTCCTGAAAACCACCTGTTTGTCACTTACTTGCTCTTTGCATTCACCAGAGGCTTATCTTTAGCACAGCAGCAGTCCATTCATGGCTATGTGTGTTTAAACCACCCACACTGCTCACCCACCTGAATACAATCCCCCCAAAAGAAAATAATCTCCAGTGAATGGTTTCGTACTCCCCTCGCATTGTTTCAGTCAACAGCATCACGAAAAAGCTTTACAACATATTATGAGTATGTCAGAAAATTACACCTGAGACGTACAGATACACGTTTGAATATCAGCACAGAGGTCTGAGGTCCGGGGCTGGAGGTCAGAGGTCATTGTTTTGGCCAGTTGTATTTGGAATCAACTGGTTTTTCTACAGGTTCTGAAATCCAAACAAGTTCCCTCCTTACAGTAATGGTTTGTCCCAAGATTTACAAACCTTTTATCATATGATCACACAGTAAAACAAAAGCTGTCACAGACTCTGATTTTAATCTGATATTGAATGCATGTTTGCTCTCTGAGCAGATGTCAATATTCTTAGGAAAATGTGTCCCAGGAACATTTCCAGGAGGTCTCCATCTGTACTGTATTATCATGTGCTATAACTAATATTTCATTATCGGTTATGTAGAAATACAGTCTGGTGTTCTTTACTTGATAGTGATGGGACATCTTTTATCACTCATTCCTTCATCTCATCCTTCTCCATACCTACTTTCACCACCCCAGGCTTGGTCACAGAGGCCGAGTGAGTGTCATAACCATGCTTGTTTTTTTACAATGATTAAAACACAACATGAGAAGATTCCTTAATAAATACTGCTAACTTTCCTGGTGACAAACTCAAAATATTAATATATTACGGTCACTTTATTCATATTATGTTTTAAAGGTAACTTAAGTGGTGGATACACTGATACCCGGCCCCATGAAACAGTGAAAATAAAGAATGAGCCGGAGAAGATCAAAGGCCTTTTTCTTTGGCTTTGAGATGCGATGTCAAAAAATACACAGAAAGATACCTTTAGGCCATGGTGAGCGAGCAGCGTGTTGTTCGCACTCTGCGAGAGGCGCGATTGGTGACTTTCTCTGTTTGTCTGCTCTGACATCCTGCTATGAAGAAAACTGGATTTCAAAGTTCCCCCTGCACTCTCTCTCCGTAGAAGACAAATACCACTGCGGGGCAATCTCTGCAAGATGGGTATCAGCCTTCACAACATGTGTAATATGCTCTGTGGTTTTGAAAGAACACCACAGAAAGCCAGGGCATAACGCTCCTTTTCAGAGCACTGCTTTGAAAACACATCAGGGCTTTTGAAAGGCTCCGCTTTTACTGACAGCCTGGATTCTGCTGAGAACATTTTGTCCAGGGGAGCAGCAAATCTCCGGGCTTTGAAAGGGATCCGTACATCCATCACCTCGGGGGAGACATCCTCATCTTACAAAGACCACACACATGCATAAACAGTCACATATGCATGGGCATGCACACATACAGAGGCAAAAAGCACACACATGAGGGTCTCATACACGTGAACACGGAATATACAAAAACATCTCAAAGCATGTTAAACAAGCATCCGAGTTCCTCGGCATGTGAGGGAGCAGACTTATCTCGGAGATGTATGTCAAAGCACAAAGGCAAAGAATTGCACGCTGCCCCCCAAACACCCGTTACAGGCTACAGAAAAGTCTTTCCCGGCTAGTTTGTCCTTTGTCCCCACCACCTGAGGCCACGCTTAGTGATCTGATCCTGCGAGGAGGCAGGTTTAGGGCTTGGGTTTCAGTGCACCTGGACCCCACGTGCATCCCGCATGATGTTAGCCAGCGCAAACTAAAATGCTGATTTTAACGTATTGGGAAATAACAGCGACCCACCAGCTGTTCAACATGTGTTTACATTTTTAAAAACAAATTTGCTAGAAAATTTGATTTTCATCTGTTTGACGTGATCTGAGTTCAGAGTCTCATCAGTTTGGGATTTGTGGTCATGTTTTGTAGTTATTTTTTCCTGAAAGTTTAGTTCCAGCTCTGTCTAGAGTTCCCTAAGTCCCTTCTGTTCCATGTTTGCTTCTAGGTCCTCTTCATGTTCCACCCACCCACTATCACACAAAGGCTTTTAAGCATTTCATTTACAGATCTCAGATGAGAAGCTTCTGGGGAAGAGAGGGGTGGAGTGGAACTGACTGGATCACCGAGTGAAGTCACCCGTTTCCAACTGTGGACAAGCTGGATTCTCCATGTGCAATGATTGTTCCTAAAGAGCGCTTTGGTGACCTCTCAGGTACTCAAACTGCTTAATCTTTAGAAGGTTTGAGTGTGGCCATTTGGTTTTCAGGTCATGTGCATCTCTGAGTGCACATAGAAGAAAACCTTTTGAAGAGGCACCAAAGATAACATCTCCATGTGAGAGGAACACCCCTGTTGCCTTTGGACAAAAAAAACATAAGAAAAGCATTTCTGAGATGAGTGTTTTAGAGATTCCCTGAGTGTGAAAAATTCTACCGGGTCATGAGGAGCTGAAGTGACTGGGTGAGCAGTTCCAGTTCCAGGTGCCTTAGCGTTGATCAGCTCCACCATCAAGTATGTCCACATGTGGTTGTACGGTCAAGCTGAAGCCGTCTATAATTACAGTGGTAAAGCATGCAGCCTCCAGTGGTTGTGAGAGAAACTCATTCATGATGATAATAGTGAGGTGGTGAAAATCGTTTTTGTCCCAGTTTTGATTGCTGTGTTACCTTAGCATTTAGGTATCAGCTAAACCCAACAAGGTGGTGACCCATTTCGTTGGTGGAGATCGTTATAGTAACAAAGGCAAACTGATGAGTGATGGTTCCATGGAGACAAATGCACTTTAGTCCTATGACGTAATCTTAACCCCAAATCATGTTGTTTTAGTAAGTTGCTGCAGTTTTATTTTGTTTCAACATGACTCGGAGGGGGAAATGCTCCTGTTGTATGTTGATCTTGAACTCATGACTGCCAGAACAGCCACATGCAGCTATCACACCTGCTATGAACTACAGACCAACAGACATTTGCGGTTCAGAGACCAGATTTATTTGGTAAGTTTTTCTTATGAAAAAAAAAGATCCCTCACAGACTCAATTTTGCAGTTTCTCTTTGTGTAAAATGCACTCCACAGCCTAAAACTTCTATCATGGCTTGGATTTTCACAGTGCTGGTCAGGCTTGTTTTTTAAAACACATGAATAATTATTCATGAAACGATGCCTGTAATTCTCCTGACTGGAACATTGTAGCGGAGTCGTCATGCATGCTCTTCTGCAGGGTTTGAAGTTCAGATTGGAAAGCAATCAAATACATTGACTCTACTGACATTTGTGCATCGTAATTCAGGAACAGTAATGTACTTTGGACAAAGTTAATATTTGCCTTACTATACTCTGATACAAGTCTTGTCTCTATTTCTCTATTACACACACACAAGATAACTTAACCTCTCCCCCCCACCGTTTTTTTGTGGTAATTTACCAATCATGTAGTGAATTTCCTGGTCTGATGACACATGTACACAGCCTGTCCCAACACTCTGACCTCATTTTATGTCAATACCTTGTCTTACAATTAAATGTTTCAGGAAATACTACTGTTTTACCTTTTTTTCTCTTACTAGAAAAAGATAAAACTAAACTCATACATGTTTGTATGCTTTAACAAAATTTGTTTTCTAATGTGATGCTTGTCTCTTTCTTTACAAATAAGAATAGCAGAAATGTTAGAAGTTTCAGAGTTTTCTATGATTACTTTTATATGGCTCATTTTATCATTGTTCATCACTCTAGAATACAAAAGCCCTTCCTTTTTTAATATCATCCAATACTATTTTGACACTAGTATCCCTTATGTCTAAACAGAGCTACAAAGTTTGAGAGTGTCTTTCTACAATTTCAACAATTCTACATTTTTTTTGTTTGTATCGTCTCTTCCGCTTTATGAACGGTAATACACTCTCTCAATGGCCTCCTCTTGCCGTTACATTCCAACCATTAAACCTTTTAATCAATATCATCTCTTTCTGTGTGTGGACCAGTAGGTGAGGCTAAACATCTTCCTCCAGCAGAGAGCAGTGTTGCCCCACAGTGTGTTGATAGAAACGAAAGCAAAGGGCTCCCATCAAAGTCAGGCATCTTCACCTGTGCTCAGCAGTAATTTCCACAGTTTTGTTCTGAAAGAGTACATTTCTTGCCTTGGCTGCGGACAAGTTCGCAACCTTCAAAAGTGGCCATGACATCGGGACATTAAAGCTATCCAAACCTACTTTCAAATGCACAAACTTCAGATGTCCTTCTGGTTACCTGCTGGAAAAGTCCTCATATGTATGAGCAAACAGCATAACGATAAGGTTTTTTTTTCATGCACACCCTTTTCAAGTGTCAAAAATGTTCTACTTAGTCATTGGGGAAGGTGCAATTTACATTCAAACACTCAGTCAATCAATGATAAAATACCACGATAACAATCTGTATATTGATTGTAGTGTTCTCAGCCCTGAACTCTATGAGCTTATTGATTTGTTGAATCAATGGAGCACAACAGTATTAGAACACCAAGCTGCTGACTTAATGAGAACTGCTCTGGAGAGGAAAGTGTCACAGGGAGTCCTCTAAGTTAACATGAAACATACAAAACAAGAACACAAAAAGCAAAACTTATTCTAAAGCAAACATCTCAAAGTATACGGCTCTGCTGTGAATGTGAGGAAACTCAGAAGTGATAAAAGATGTAGTGACTAATAATGATAATCTCACCTACAAGAAGGTTTCCTTCCTTCACTGACATTTCAAAGGAACCTTGAAAATGTCACTAGACTTTATGTAATCTAGTTATTTGATTGAAACAAATCCAAGACATGCATTTTTGAAGCCTTTTGCATCCAGTCCTTCTGATTATCTTATAGTCCTGTTAGTTTTCCTCACATTTGACCACACATACATTTTATGAGTTTGAATATGACCTTATATGGGGAGTCCAAAATCATATGACAGTAGTTTGATCCAGTTTTTATCTATTCAGCATTCACAACAGCAAAATATATCAGTTACATATAGAGAGAGGGGATGACAATAGTGTCCAATGACAATAATTCACCTGGAAACGTGGTGTTCGTTTTGTTAATGGATGGTAGTTATCACAAGGCTCGAAAGAAGTCCTAAACCAAAAATGTCCAAGAGGCATGTAAACAAGTAAGTCAGCAGACACAGACACGCACAGGGCGTGTGATCACTAGAGCTTTGAAGCTTTCCATTCACTGTGTCAAAGACCGAGGACTTTGTTTTGGTTGACTGAGTCTGCAGGCCAGATAGGTGAAGCGCTTTCAGCTTTTTTTGCAACATTGACGCATATCGTTGATGCCAAGAAATCCCATTAAAATGATTCGTTTGCCTTAGATTTGTGTAGATAGCGTCATTGTTGTGCAGCAGCTTAGAGACAAATGAAGTTACGTGTAATCCTATCACACATACCAGAGCTTCACCTACACGCTCTGATTGGAATGGAAATTACACACAGAAAAGAAAAACACCTCCATGGTAAAACTCATTGACCTTTTGCAGGTATCCAGAGCTCTGGGACATTCCAATGAATGAGCTCATTTTTTAGAGCAGAAATACTTATTGATTTTTGCTACGAAAAAGCAAAAGAAAATGAGTTATCAATGTAGGGAATTCACTTGACATCAATTCACTCAATTGAACTAAGGGCTTTGTTAGAAATTTTCACTCATATCAAAGCGATTCCTTTCATTTCAATTAAACTATTTGTTTCTATAAAAGACTGACCTGTCATATCTTTAAGATCTTTTGCAATTTGTCCCAATTATGACAAATGCTTAACGATATTGGGAAACATGCAATGCAAAGTTGTTAAAAATGATCATCAATATGATATATGAACAAATGTGTGTCATTTCCTTCATGTGAGTGACAAACGATGTATTTGGCAAACGTGCATGGCGTGGATGATTTTCAACGTTCACAATTATACTTCCTCCTTCTGATGGAGTCCTAGAAACAAATTAAAAAAGCGGTTTTGTGGTAAAACTGTGATGGGAGCACGTGACCTCCACAGCCTTTCCACCAGTCTGTCGTGATTATGTTACATATCGTATGGTGGTTACCACCACCACCTCACAAAATGGATGGATGGATGAGGACTGGAATTCTATTTTTGGGAGATTCTATTTTTGATTGATTACAATGGCAATAATGAGACATTACTACTAGGACCAATACAATTTTGTGCCTTACTTCACTTGAGAGAAAAATAAAATAAAAAATAAAAAATAAAAAACAGGTCATGAATATTGTAAAATCTGCCAATGATTAAATAAGATATCTTTTTTAGTCTTGTTGTCAAAGTTTGTCCTTCTATCTTAAAAGCTGTTATCTTTGGTTTGAGAGGACATTCTGACTTTTGGCTCATAATCAGCGACCAAAATGGCAACATTGATGAAAAAGGATCTGAAGAATGAGGAATGTTCCTCTTTCAGACAGAGCAGAATGTGGATCTATCAGAGGCATGTTTACTCTGTCTGCCACATGTTACTGTTGATGGTGACAACAACTTAAAATTTCCTCATTGTTGTCATTCTCAGCCACGTTGTCTAAATGACTCAGCTTTAAGCTTTAGACTTTACACAAGAGTGGTAAATAAGATTTTTTTTTTTTTAAGGGAACTCAGTGTCCAAAACTGATTGACAAATGAGTCAGTCACAATAAAAACAACAACAATCTGATGTTGATTGGATCTAATTTAGAGTGATGTTTACAAATATATATATTTTTATGTGTAACTCTTTATTACGAGTAATTCAGTAGATATTATGAACCTTGCAAAGTTAATTGATTCCGCAATTTTTTATTTTAGATCTACAGTATTGTGGCCAGAAACAAGAAATTGACCATACACCACAGGTTTTTAAAATAGCTTAAAAGAGAGTGATCGTGTTTGTCTGAAAGTAGTGATGTAAGAATTATTGTGGGAGTAAAAAAGAGCAAACCAAATAAGTTAAGTGTCCCTTTTTTACTTTTTACTCAGGTATATAAGCATAAACTTCACATCTGAAAGCGGATAATGGCTATTTTAATAAATAAAAAAATCTAAACATCCAGTCTTCCATTACAAATCATAATATTTTAAACACAATTTGTTTGACAGACAGAGTCATATCCAACTTTGTTGCAACTGATGTTACAAATCAGAAAGAAAGGTTAAGTCTGCAGAAGAAACCACACCCGCACACAGTATTAATGAAACAAAGTCTTTGACATTTTCCCTTCTCACGTAGGTAGAATAATATGAGCAAATAGGCACAGGATCTTTTGAAAACTTCTATGCAGCAGCACACCGACTGATGGAAATCTCCACTGCTTTTACCTTTGTTCCAATTTTCTTCCATCCATTAGAGCAGAAATAATTTTTGTGTTTCCCTTTCCTCTCCAGCTGTAGCCTCCTGATGTCTGCATGGCAACCACATAGAAGCTTGTGTGCATTCACAGACAGCACATTTCTGACATCCTTTACATGTCCGCGTGTTGGCTACCAGTGATGGCTGCAAAGAATTGGTTTAATATCTCAATAGTTTCTTCTGAAGAATTAATTTCACAATGTTGGACTGGATTAAAATTGTTAAAAGACAGTAGGTCAGACGCAAGGTCAGAGAAGCCTCAATCCACCACACACGAAACTTTCAGTCTATGATCAGGTATTTATTTGTTGACGTGCCATATGACATGTTTAATTTTCAAAGATTATCCAGTAAAATATTCCATTAGCAGTTTCCTGTAATCCTATTCTCATATTTGGGATATGAGGGAATAAATTATCAATATCTGTAATAAGAATCTAATAATGTAAATCAATAAAAAAAATTATTCTAGGTATGTATTTGAGGATCTCGTAGACTCTCATAAAGATTTACTCTCTAAAAGTTGATGTCATTGTAACCTCTTTGAGCCTGATGATAAAGATGGGACCGTAGCTTTGTAAAATGTTTAGCAATGTGGGTTTATAAAGAAATCCATTAGTGATGGAGTGTAATTAATGTGACTATTTCAGAAATTAATGCTTCTTCTTTAGACAAGTCTCCTCCTCCATCCTGCTGACAGTCAATTTGTTTGTTCAAGGGGTTTAATATTTAGCTCACGCACAAGCCTTTTTTTCAACCATCTGACCACGCTTGCTTTCAGGTCTGTAAACACACAGACAGGTTTAACTGACTACGGTGCCTGAGCAGGGAATTTTGTTAGCTGTTGTCAAGCTTGTGAAGAGAGCCGCTGGACACCGAGGACCTATCTGTGTCGCTCAGTTGTGTGTATGAGCTGCGGAAAGTTCTGCCCCTGTGGATTCATTTCAAGCAACTTAGGGCTCTGAGCAGTTGGATGAACAACTAAGAAGAGATGGGACCTCGCACAGCTGGTAAGAATTGTTAGCTTTGACATATAAATGATGTAAATGTCTGGAAAAAAACACCACATTGAGTCAAAATTCTCCACAAAATGTTTTTTTTGTTGTTCTGGTCTCTGCAGCCTCGCTGTTCAAAAGTAAATATTAGTGTATTGATTAGTACCTCAAATTAAAAATATTATCAACCTTATTGAAAGCCTTAAATGTCTCACATCTGGAAAGACTAATGAAGTAATAAGTCAGTGTGAATGATTTGACACTTAGAGTTTTGAAACCAGCAACTTTACTACAGGAATATATAAGAATTTGATAGATTCATTATTTTCTGGTGTTTAAGTTCTACAGGGGTATAATATTTGCTCCTTTTCATTCTAAATTTGACTCCATTCTTCCTTTTACTTGAGCTATAATGAAATAAAAGGAAACGGAAAATGGTGTGACAAACATGGACTTTCCTGTCTCTCCTATACAAAAATGATTGAGCACATTGTGCATAGTTTCCACAAGCTGCACAGAAAACATGAACGGGACATCCTTTTCGTTATTTACCTATTTGAACGCCACCGTTATCATTCAAGAATCTAAGCAGGAAGCCCAGTGAGGCACATAAAGCGTGATGGGCGTGCAGCCAGTTTGAAAACAGCAGCACCACTTGACCTCAGAACGTGGATACATAGTCTGGTCAGACGGACAGCAGGGGACAGCTGGGCCTCGCTCACTGCCCCCCTCCCTTTGAGAAACCACCCCTACCGTGTCCACCACGAATCCTGTTTGTCTTTCTTATCTCCATTATTAAAAGACATGTTTCATCAAGGTGAACAGAATTATAATTGCAGTAACATGAATTGAGGAAGACCAACACTGTGCTGGTGTGTGAGCATGTCTTTTAATTAGATTTCTTGCCTTAATGGGGACAGTTGTGATGGGATCATAAACACATTAGAGACTCACCGGCTAACTTAGTATTTCCACCACATCTTTGCATTTCAATTCATTTGTAGTATCTCATTCGCTAATGGTGACAGTTATACAATGTATAATTGTGGGGTTATATATACATGTGGAAATTCTCTTACCTTCTGAGCAGACAGTGCCTCCAAAGATGAGAAAGCAGTCAGAGGCGGAAGCTGTGGGGGTCCGGCGAGACCCCGGGTGAGAAGCAGCAGCGATGGCAGCATCTACACCAGGAGGGTGGTCAGCGCCTACAGCGCCTCCTCCTCCATGCTCTCTAATCCTAAATCAGGTAAAGAAAATGACCAAAAACAAACACTGCTCAGGCAGGAAAAGCTAATAAAGATATGCGATCTGTGTATATGCATATAAAGGCAGGGGAAGGTGGGTTTTATGAGTCTGATATGAAGAGACATAAAGGTAATGTGGAGAAGTATGATTTGAAATCAGACAGTTGTGTAACTCTGTTCGAATGACATAATGAATACAAATTGTAAACAGATACAAATAGAGTATTTTGAAGCATTTTTTAAAGTAAAACATCCTAATTTCTCAGTTTAATCAACAGAAATAAACAGCGTTTTTTCTTCCATTGCTTAAAAAATCTTTTCCTGATCATCTTTGACGTGTTTGTCTTTGTTTTATGATTAGTCCTGAAGAGACCAGTAAGCACAGAGGAGCTGCAAACACCGGGAGGCCCCTACATAAAGAAAACGTTCACAGTATGTCCGCCGCTTGCAAATTTATACACTGAAAGGCTTTTTTCCCCATTAAACTGAAATGATATGATTAGTTTCTCACAAAACAAGAGATGGATATGCATGATTTTTCCATTCTGACAGAAACTACCTTGCACATTTTAGGGTGTTTGCAACAAATTACTGTTCTGTTTAGATTCACACGATTTTACTTAAAAAATAAATACTGGAGTAGGACATTAGAAAAAGCAGAAGCTGCTTACGCTTCACGACTTTGCGAGAGGAATCCACTACAGGATAAATGTATTTTTCCAAGGCGTCGGTGTTGATTACGCATTCTGTCCAGATAAATGACCAACCATCGCCTGTGTCGTCCACAGATTGTGGGGGACGCCGTGGGTTGGGGGTTTGTGGTCAGGGGAAGCCATCCGTGTTATATCCAGGCTGTGGAGCCCTCTGGCCCCGCAGCTGCTGCGGGGATGAAGGTAGAAAAACGTTCAGCGGAGAAAAAAAACAAACGCAACTTCATGTTTCATTCAAGTTTTGGTTAAATATTTCCCTACCTTGCTCTCTACAGGTTTGCCAATTTGTGGTATCAGTGAATGGTCTGAATGTCCTGGATCTGGACTACCGGACCGTCAGCCACCTAATTCTAACAGGACCCAGAACTGTAGTGATGGAGGTTATGGAGGAGACTGACCACTGAAGATGAGGAGGAACAAGCACAGCGAGTCCGAGCGGGCCATGGGCGGGCTTCCGCTTTGTAGGAAACGTACCAATGCTAGTTCTGTAGGTGGTTTTTGAAGTAGGAGATAACATTATTAGAAGACCTTTCAATCCTGCATTGAAGTTGAACTTGTGGGGCTTTCACACTTCACTGACTGAAGACAAGTGTTAAACTGAGACTGAGACTGTGAAACAGACCAGAATCCCTTTCAGATTTAGACTCAATCCAGTGGCAATAAAACACTATCAACATAATATATGATAAACAAAGTTTGCGGCATAAATTAAGATAATCTCATTAAAGAACCCTTGGTAGCTTTACTGATACCCAGTTCTAAATTTCGAAGTTTCAGAAACATCTCATGCATGCAGCTTGACTATATTTTCCACAATTCTTCCCCTTTATTTGTAAAAAATGACGTGTGTGTTAAGCATGGACACATTACCTTTAACAACTGCCTCTCCCGGTGAGAATCTGGATGTTTCAGGTGGTTTATTAGTTCCTTTCAGAGGAGGAAGAGGTACAGGGGAAAGCATTACAGTGCTGACTCTTATCCAAGAGGCCCTCGGATGCACAGCCATAATACACAACTTCCCACAGATTAAGGATTTTTGTCTCGTTCAGTTGGTCAGACATGGTTTGACCAATGAGAATCATGAATACGGTTTCCATGTGGTTAAATTCATGGTTTACTGTTCACACAGCAGAAAGCAAATTTTTGTACATTTATTTATTTTATAGAACCTTCTTATTCCAAAAATAGAGGCAGACCCTTCACATGGTCTTGGACCTGCACCCTGACATTGTTGCTGACGTTTCCTTTCAAGCTGTTTGGACTCTTAACCCTTTGCCACCTCACTGGCTCATTGACTCGCTTAACTCAGGGCTTGCGATCATAACAAGAGCATTTCCCCACACGTTGACACGTGGAAACACGGCAGAAACATACATCACTCTGGGTCCTCGTTCCGTAGTGTTTAACTTTCCATCCATTCCTCCGATTCCCAGAAAGGAAATGAGAAGTGAAGAGGTTTGAGGAAGATAAACAACCCATCCATAAGGCAGATCGGACCCGACGTGCTTTGTTTAATTTAGTTTTGTTTGCTACTTTGAATTTTTATACCTTTATATATGATTGTATTGCATGGTTTTGTGTTCATTTTTTAGTATGCATAGTTTCTCAGCTTGTTGTCTCCAACACAGTGATTCTCTGTGAATCGTTTGACTCCTCTTGAATGTTTAATGTTGGTTTTCACTGACGAAATGAGATATTTATGACTCGATGTTGTTTTAATAAGACTGGCTGTTGTTGATTATATCCAAAAAGTAAAAACTGTGAAAACTGACCTCCCTTTCATGAAAATATTATTTATAAATAATCAAATAATCAGGTTCTTGGGTAATATATGAAATGTCTTTTTTTTAAATAAATGCTTTTACAGATCTTACTTTAAGTTGGATCATTTTTCTCCATCATGTTCTTCATCAACACTGTGTGAAATTGTTTGATTATGACCTCACTTAAAGCTGCTTTTCTTACATTTCATGAAAATATATTCAACAGTGAATAAAAGACATTTGATTAATGACTGATGGATACCTTTTTTATTTGACAGATATCCTAATTGTCTGTTTGTAAAACATAACACAACTAAAGTCGAAGCAGATATGGAAGATGGAGGGTTAGGTTTGCAGCCGTGGGGGACAGAACTGCCCCACATTTAGGAGGTGAACTATAGCAAGAATAAGCAGCACGTGTTCAGAAGAAGGAGCTCAGTTTCTTGCGTTTCCAGGTGATGGCAGCACCCGTGCAGCTTCATGTAACAGAGCGTCCGGGCCTCAAACATACCGATCAAACGTACAATTAGTTCTCCTCCACTTTCAGACTGCTTACTCTTTTGAATCTGTCACTCTTTCAAAATGTATGAATCAAGACAAACGTTGCAGGTTTTAATGACTGATCGAAGATGCATTATCAAAAAGCAAAACTACAGAGCCCTAAAATTCATAACATCTCCACTTTTAAATACACAGTTCTGGATATTTGATGATTGTAGATCATATAGTATAACTTAGATGAAATATCTAAATATGCATGTGTTGATTGTTTCCTTTTATAGCTTCAACTCAAAGTATATAATCCTTAAACATGATATCAAACCCATAAAATAACCACGTTGTTTTTGTTTAAAGACCTTTGCTTGTGAACCTAAATGCACCTCCTAGTGGTCATGAGAGCCACTACCACTATAACATGGCAGATGTGAAAATGACGAAGGGAAGGGGAGTAATGTATTTTGTCCAAATAATTGGGGTCCAAATAAACAGTTACTTTTTCTTTTTACAGAGTCATTCAAAATGATTGTCAGCAGATAACAAAGTGCCAAAGTGATGGAAACACAACAGCAAAACACACAAGTACATTAAAATACATCAAATCAAAGTAATTTAGGTGCTTTTAGAGAGGTACAAAAAAAAAACTTTTGGAGAAGCATGTTGATTTAATTTTTTTAATAAGCAGCAACAAAAAACTGTTGAAATTGTGTGTTTCTATTAACGTTTATTGTGATATTTAAATGGAGACATTAGTAATCAACCAAGCACAATATAAAAAATTGTCAATATCCCAGAATAAACCAGTTCGAACTGAATTACTGAATGGTTTTATGGTTCTCTATTGAGGCATCATCACCACATTCATTCAGCAAACATTCATTAGAATGATAACCCTGGTATTGTAAAACAAAACCACTGTCACTCAGCTCTAACCCTGATTGGCTTCTAACCCAAACCAAATCGAGTCATAGCATGAAACTAACCAGGAACTGGCATGAAAGTGGAACAGTGAAGGATCATCTAACCTCTATTCTTGGGGCTGAAAGCATCGAAACCTTTCTGCTGGTGTCTCCCTCCTAACTAATTAATACATAACTGTGTAATGTTTTACATCAAGAATGCTATATCACTGATATCAGGGCTTCTTATAGGTACCTCATAAACGTTCTTAGAAATGAGGGGAAATGTTTGCCTTGCAGCAAAATAGTTGAATTTTCTTGTAACTTTCAGTCCTGAAAAAATATTCTGCTGCCAGCAGTGGGTCCTTCCAGTGATTTATGAAGAAAAGAAAGAGGTCACGGGTAAAGTTGAAGAGCATAAACTACCGAAGCATTAAAATGAGATATTACAGTAGGCCAAGTGTCATAAACCCCAGTATGGGCCATTTCACAACCAGGGTGTGAAAATGTCCCCTTTCGTTAAACCTTTTATCTCTTTAACAGTCTCTGTTACAGATTTACTTTAGTTCAAGTCGCTTCTCTGTTCATCTCACCACAGTTTTAACTTTACATGATGATTTCCTTAAAAAAAAAGTGAATTCCTCACCGTCCATTGTGTCATAAGCAGACAGTCTACTCTTGTTTGACCCGTGAGTGGTTCTGACTCAGTTTTATCTGATGCATTTGCAGCCTGATAACACAACCGTCTACATTTGCGCCTCCTCACAGACAAAAATAGAAATCTGAGAGCTGTTGTAGTCGACAAACAGAATCCATCGCAGTCTGCAAAGGAATCAGTCGGCAAACTGAGCAACTGAATTTTTTTTCAAAAGAAACTTAGATAGTTTAAATTTACTGCCACCAGCTTTTTTTAATCACCATAAGGAAGTTATATAGAAATTCTGCCTCAAAAGAACAAATTGGGGCCGTGCCCCACCAATTGTGAGACAATGGCTTTATGATATCATGATACCTGCATTTAATAATCTCTAAACCCAATTCTGTGTTTGTGATCACTAAGATGAGTATTGTTTTTATAACATATAGCGTAACATACATTCCATTCTGGTTTTATGGACTGCTTCAGAGTTAGGCATGACTCAGGCAGGCTCTACTCGCACACATTTTAAATGAGATACCACACGGTCACAGAGAAATTAGCTCTGCCAAACCCCAGAGCAGCACATGTGAGGCTCACCCATATCTTCATGAATATATAAACCAAGCCATTCTTTCTTTAAGCTGATTCCTAACCAAGCGTGACAATCAGAGACACTGAAACTTGAAAGTTGAGTTGGACGGGTGTGTGTCTGTCAGTCAAACGGTGGATCTCCACTATTCAATCCTTCAAACTCTTTTCTGAGCATTTTGGAATGTTAAGCAGTGGCAAAATCACAAATGAGAGTTTTCAAAATGTAAGCGGCTCATGATCTGCAGCAGCAAGATGGAAATGCAATGTTCTGGGAGATTTAATGTTGTAAAATGTTGTCAATTCCGAATCTGTGTGCATTTGGGACAGATTTTTTATCATTGACAATGCAGATGTTCTACAATTTTAGAGATGAAATATTGAAATTTTTGTAGCCCACAAAAGCAAAGCCCTTCTTGAAACAGTGAACTGTAACAATTTTCTAAAGATTTGAAGTAATTCCATAACACACTGGTATTTTCATCCCCCCCCTTTTTTCTGTGTGTGCCACTCTCTCCGGAGCTTCTCAGGACGACACTCTCACACTCAGTTTTTCATTTGTCAAAGCAAACTGCTGAACTGTTTGGTCACCTCACTTTTGCCACATTCTCTGGCAGACCTGCATTGTGGACTTCTTCTGGCTGCTCAGTGGCGTTTCTCTCTGTAAACATTCACCCTCTTTGGCCTGCATGCCCGAGTGCCACTTACCAGATCCAGTGACAACAAACGATCCAGCTCTGCCTCCACAGCACCATCTTTCCTTACTCTCCCCGTTCAGCACCTCCATTCCAGTCATACTCACCTTAACAGCCTGCTGTAGTGAGCTTTTTCAAACTTTTCTTCTTCATTTTTAAACTTTCCTTCTGTTATTTTCTTCTGTAGAGTTCTGCAGAAAGCCTATTACTACAAACATTGGAGACAAGCAACTCTGCATGAACTAGAAACTACGACAAACTACTAATGAGGAATTTAAATCGATTTAAATTTTTTAGACCAGATTATTATACAAAAAAAAAAAAGCCGAAACAACCCCATCTTAAGGCGTCCTGTGATTGGCATAATGTTTCAGGAAAATTTGCAACACTTATTAATCTCCCTCTGATGCTTTCTGAAAAATGTCCAGCTTTGATCTATTATTGATTTTGCAAAATACATTCACACTTCTAATGATGAGGAAATGCAAATGAAAGGACGGGCGAAGGTGAAGAGAGGGTTTTTAAGCCTTGACACAGCTGAGGCATCATCATGCAAATTGGATCTTTTTTCGCAGAGCTGCTTTGACTTGTGCTCAGGAGAGTCATTTTGAGCTGGATTCTACAAAGAGTATACATATCAAGACGCTAATGCGTCGGACATGTTTGAAAAATGGCACACGAGTACAGAGTAAAAAACTGAAAAAAAAGTACAAATACTGAGGACACCAAAAATGACGGATGATCTCACAAAAGGCCAAACACACAGGGATGGTGAGCGACCTGCTGACAGCTCGTGGTGTCAGAGATTGAATCGTTGGTAGCACCGCGCTAACAGCTGTATAAACACATTTCAAGAGCACTTTGGGTCAC